GTGTCAGTTGTTCATGGTGCAGCTTCACAGCTAAGTGATGAATTCTTACTGCAGGCTGTAGCTTCATTCTTGGATTACTTTAGGCTCAGAGAAAATCTATAGAATGCATCATTTGCTTCTGTTGATGTGCTGTACGATGAGCTGCCTTATTTCATTCTGCAGAAATTTAAATGTTTAACAGGGTTAAAAATATGGAGAGCTTTTGCCAATGAAAACTGTGAATTTTGTCCATTAATGTGTCAGTTTTCCTTGAAATATTTGTCTCAATTTAGCTTGCTATCCCTTTGTTTGCAAGCCACGTGAGATTTATTTTGTCTGGCATAAACTAGCTTACTTTTGGGAGGTGACTTTCTGCAAAGATCTCTCTCCCTTTCTGTATGACATAATGCTTCTGAAGTGATGTGGTTTCCTGTAGCTACTGCACATTATCTGTCCTGTGAAATTGTGGTGCCTGTGATGTTTTTACTGACATTACTTAGCAGTTAGAGAATCTGAGGCATTAATAACTTTCTTCTTGATCTTGTTTGGACGTGTCCAGCTTCATTTTTAGGGCAACTGTTTCCCTTGGAAGATATGGGTATGATGGCAATTGCTGTCAAGTGAGAGTTGAGAGTGGCACTACTCTGTTACTCTGTTATCATGCTAATTTGCATTAGCCTAAATATTTTAATATATGTGGAAGAATTTTTTTTTCCTTCGGTACTTTATATTATATTTAACAGTCTTTTATTCTGTAGGATACAGAAGTTATTGCACGGTGAGATGGTTGAAATCAGTCAGTATTAACTTCTGTTTTTTTTTCATACTTATGGTCTTCTGTTTTTTTATGGTCTATTTTTAGTTAACACTTGCTTTGCTTTAAATTTTGAATGGTTCCCTAATACAAAGCTATATTTGTCAGATTCAAGAAAGGTTTAGAGTCCAGTGAAGTTTTTTTCTGTGGGCACAGATATTCCAAGCAGAGTAAATCACTGACCAGGTGCAAAAGTTGACAGAATTGCATCCATAATTATATGCTGTGGTACGCTGTGAAGTACAACGAGCATTATTAGAGATGGTCTGCATGTCCTGGGTTCTAAGAAATTTCAAGGACTTTAACAGGTGTTCTTTGTGTGTTTGATTAGAACTTACAGAAAAGGAGAGATTTATGCTTAACAAGACAGTTCATCTCAGTAAAATTAATGTAGATAGGACAGCTGAGGAAAAACAAAGACTAATGATGGGATCTATATACTCTGTAACTGAACTCTCCAAATGAATTAACTTGTAAAATCAGAAATAGTCGAATGGTAGCTATTAACAGTGAAAGGACTGAGGGAATAGGTGTGTAGATGCAAGAAGGAACACCTGTATTATCAAAATAAAATTAAATTGTCAAACTTGATGCCAATTATTGCTTAAAATGTTACATAAATTCTAGGTAATTTTTAGTCCTATATGTAAGCAACCATGTTGATACCATTAAAAAAATAATCTACATGTTGCAGTGTAACTTAGTATGTTGTAATGTTTTGTTATACTAATGATTTTGTATTGAAAAATTACTCACTCTAAGACTGTCTTTCTTTCTCAACTGCCTAAAAGCTAGTTATCAGTAATACAATATATTAACATATATAATAAAACATGTAGAAATACTGTTTTCTATATATTGGCTCTGATCACATTTGCTCCCAACTATCTTTGTTGTATTTTCTAGATAAAGCTCTGTATTTGGTATTTTTAAATTAAAAAGAGAATTGTAGTCTATATATGTAGCTTATACAGATATTTAGAGTGCTGGAAATGTGTGAGAATGGCGAATCCATTTTATGTATTTTTTGCTATCAACTACTAGTGTAACATTTACTGTGTACCCTTGAATATGGTGATATACCATATGTAACTGATTATATTTATTGAGGTATTTGTTAGAAAGGAATTTTGATTTTTATGTAAATTGGCATGGACTTAATTTTTTTCTTTGAAAAATTCTTTGCTAAATCTCTGATTGTTGTTAAAATTTGAAACAAATGTATGTTTTTTCAAGGACAGAGATTTAACAAAAAAAGACATTTTTCTTCTTTGTCAAGACAATGCAAGAATAAAAACTGTGAACTCTTCCAAAAACTGAGGATGAAAATACTTAGAATGAACAAAAAGTCAGAGGCTGTCTTTGAAAAATGTTTTTCCTCTCTTTTCTATGCACAGCACTTTGATGACCAAATACTATTAAGAAAAAAAAGCTGTGAAGTCTATAAAACTTTTTTGAGCAGCAATTCAAGAATTCTTACCTTCCACCCTTCCCTTTCCCCCTGGAACAGTCCCACTTATACAGTAGTACATCCTCAGCTACTTTTTTTCTTCTTTGTTCTGTTTTTTTTTTTTTTTTTTTTCCGTTTTCATGGCTTGGGATAAGTAACTAATTAGATGCAACAACCAGTGTATGAAGTCAGAAAAAAAGAATAAAATTCAGCTCACTTTCTCTGCATTATATTGTTTTTCCAGGTTAATTTGAGTAAAAACTAGCAGAAGTGTATGCTTCTAAGTTAAAGATGTAATCTGTCTCTGATATACACAGAATGGTATAGTTCAGTGGTGACGCGCCATTTTTGTGTGGTCACTTTTTGGAGTAGAATTGCACAGTAAACAGTAGTGAAAAAATATTAGTTCTGCATTTACTTGCTGTTTTCCAAGATAAGTCCTGCATGTTCCTTTCTCTAAACAGTGTTCTAGAAAATGCTTTACCATTTCAGTTTTCAGGATTCTTTTTAAACATTTGTAGTGTCAATAAGCCTTGCCTAAAAACAGGGCGACAGCTAACTTTTCAGTGTAGATTGCTGTAGAAATATATGGCCTCCTTATAGTCATAGATACAAATTGCTTTAAAACTTAGCATCACAGTAATTCCATATCATTGATAGAAAGTCTTTGTTTGTCCATATACAATAGCATTACATAAACAGTATCAGAACAAATATACTTGAGTTAATAGTATTGAATGGACTATACAGATTATAACTGACCATATTTGTGGTATTAATTGTTAATTTTTGTTACTTACAAGAGCAGAAAAATTCTCCCATTGGTACTGGTTTGTCAATTGCCATTATAATTTCAAAGACATTTAGATAATCTGCATTTTGCATTCTGAATGAAAGGATATAATCTCTTCTGTGATTAATTTTGTGCTTTATCTCAGTCTGTAATGCTGGATGGAGGTAGATTGTACTAATTCAGCTTTTGGTCTTTCTTCTGCATTTGAAAATAATGTTTCATATGTTTCTGAGTCTCATGGAACCAAAGCTGAGCTGTCACTATTCAGAAAAGACACACAGCAGGTACAGAAAGAAAGTCACTGGAAGTCACTCATACTGCAGAGGGCTGGATGCAAGTGGAAAATGCATCAATATTTTGGTTATTTGCATAAATATCATGCATTTTAGTAAGAGAGGAAATTTTTTATAATAGATGTCTTTTGTTCATATCCTAACCATTGTTAGTGGTATATTTTAGGAAGAGCATAATGCAGACTTTCTAATGTATTACATAAATATTACCATATAAGAGAACTAAGAGTCAGCTGGATCATTAGCTTTTGTGATGTGATTTTGCTCAAGGAAAACAGATGGTGTCCTGTTCCAATGGCAAATACTAGACGAATCTTGGAAAGTCAAACTCATTTGTGAGTGCAGCCATACTGGTGAGGCTTTAATAGGCATGGCCCTGTTTGGTCAGAATCAAAGGTGTAGACCTCTGTAGCCTGAGTTCTGAGTGAGAGCAGAAGGAGGAATAAAATAATGCTTTTAATGAAGAGGGTTGGGCCTAAATGTGTGATGTTTTCAATGTCTTTAAAATGGGTGTTGGGTGGAAACAGAAACCTGTGGAAAAATAGAAAAAGATGCACCATAGCTAGTGGCTAGTTTTAGGGATCAGAGAAATAGTGATGTTGGAAGAACAGTTGACTTCAGGCTGAGTTTCGTCTTGCAAAGAAAACTGATGAGGTACAGTAAGCTATTTTTTAGCCATAGAAACTGAAAGCAAGCAGAAGAAGGGAACCATTGTCGAGAAAGGGTGAGATGGAGGCAAAAGGTGATGTACATAGAACCTGGAAAATGAATGCTGAATAAGCTCCCCCAGATTTCAGAAGTGATCATGAACAGAAGGACAGGATTTTTCCCAAAATGAGCACATCAGCAGGGCATCTTTGATTTTTATTACATATGTCATATCTATTTATATATTTTCATACAGAGTTATTGACTCATGATCACTTTGTGTTCTGCTGTCTTTGCTGGTCCTTTTCATGTTGAATTGCCATCCTGTTGATCCTAACTTTTGGTATCCAAATGCAGTGCGCTTTTATCAATTTTAGCAGGGGTTTTTCAGATCAATTTTAAATCTGATTTTTTTTTTTCCTCTGGATTCAGAGACTGTTATGTAGTGTACTAGCACAGAATTGTTTTCATATGTAATATCTACAATGACTGCACAAAAGATTTTTACCAAAGTAAGGCAACTTTGTTCTGTAACATGTTGCTATGCAGATTAGGTTTGCTGAGCAAGTACTTTCAAATTTATAATTGAGATCTGATTTCAGCACATTAAAACATTTACAGAACTTGAGTATATGAATTTATTTGTATACTTATATGTTTCTTCTGTGCTAGCAACATGAAGGAATAAGACTTAATTGGAAAGTACCTGCCTCTAATTTGGTACCTGCAACAGTAATCTGGAGAAAATAAATCTTTACTGTCGTAAAAATATAGTCAGCTGGAAATCATATAGGGGTGAGGGGATGTGAGTACAGGAGGAGGAGTATTTGACAAAAACTGGATTGTATCATTGGCTGAATGATGAGAGAGTCATGGTCACAGCGAGGAAACAGTGATCTTTTACATGGCAAGGCTGGAAGTTTCATTTAATATATTTCCTGAAAGAATGAATTAATGCTCTAGAAAGTGAAAAGATCTAGAGAGTAGAAAAACATTCACTGAGGGGTTTTTGTTGTTCTGCAGTCTCAGTTTGAACTCAGGGTATTCCATATTCGTGGAGAACATGCTGTAGCAACTGCTCAGCTTGAGGAAACCATTGCGCATCTGAAGAATGAACTTGATAATAAATTGAACAGAAGGAATGAAGAAGCAAGGGATATTGGTGTTTCTACTGAAGATGATAATCCACCAAAGACATACCGAAATGTATGTATACAGACTGACAGAGAAACTTTTATAAAGCCTAGTGAAGAAGAAAACAGAGCTGTGAAAAACAACCAAATAGTACCGAAAAAGCTTAATATTTCATCTTTGACACATAGTATTTCTACCCAAGGTGAAAATAAGGACAGTTATGATGTACCATCTTCAGAAAGTGTCTTGTCTTGTCAACCAAAACAAATGCTGCCTCCTCCACCACCTCCACCACCTCCACCACCACCTCCACCCTTCTCTGATTCTTCACTACAAGGTTTAGTTCCTCCACCACCACCTTTGCCAATGGGTCCAACTTCAGTGACACCTCACTTTGCATCTGGGCCTTCACTGCCACCTCAACTTTCTGAAGGCTGTAGGGATTTTCAAGCACCATCACCACCAGCACCACCACCACTTCCAGGGTTGGGACCTCCTGTTCCTCCTCCACTGCCTGGATCCGGGTTACCTCCACCTCCCCCACCCCCAGGACCTGGGCTCTTTTTTAATAGCACTTTATCTTCAAGTCAAGGTCCTCGAAAACCTGCCATTGAACCTAGCCGTCCCATGAAGCCTTTGTATTGGACACGGATACAATTGCAAGGCAGCAGGTACACTGAATTTATTTGGACTTATTTTCTGTCTATATGTCATGATATAAATTTATATAAGCTATTTAAGACAATAACAAGCAGTGAAAATACATATAGAAGCATGGAATTTGTATGTATTAACAACAAAACAGTTATAGAAGCCTAATAATAGATCACAACAAATTGTTTTAAAATGCTATATAAATATAAAATTATGCACATTATAACAGAAAAAGCAGAGTATAACAGAGGGACTTAGAGCACTCCCTGAAAACTTTAGTGAAAGAGCAACCAAATATTTTAATTGTTTCGTGACTTAGTACTAAAGAAATAACAAGTTTTCCAGGAGATGAAAGATACCTTTTTTTTCTTCTTTTTCTTTTTTCCTATTAGAGAAAAGATCATTAAAATTAAAACTGAAATACTAAAATTTGGTCAGGCAAGAACTTTGACTTTCATTTGCTTTGGCTCTCCAGTCATTTAAGGTGATGCTATCTTCAAAGCACCGTATCAGCTTCTAATATTCTTGTTCTGGAAAATAGTAAACTTGAGCTTAACCTCAAGTATAGTTCTGGTGTAACAGGAAAGGTGAAGTATATCTGTAAATACCTGCTGCAGAGGAACCTGTTGTGTAAAGCATCTGGTAAAAAGGAGGTGCAGTACTGACAGGGACATCTGCAGTTAAAGCAGTTTTATTTATATATTTCTTTTAATTTAGTTTTTGACTGAATTTATTTTTAAGACAACGAGTAATAACTTTGGATTTTTTTTTCAATGTAAGCAACATAGGAAGTTATATCAGTTTATATTTGAGCATTTTGACTGTACTTTCCCAAAATTACTTGTGAAAATTAGTGAAGCGACAGTTGGTCCAAAAATAAACCTTGTTTCATTTTTTCCAATTAATTTACTGAGATCAAAATGTTCCTTCTGAAATGTCTATTTTGCACTCAGAAAAATGAGTGCAAAATAGAGTCTAAGTCATAATTTGCTGATGAGATGCTGGACACCAGGTCCAATGATCCAGCATCATCATTTTCTGCACTAGATACGAAGTTTTTTTCAACAGTCTGTTGCTCAGAGCAGCAGCTATCTGGGACCTTGAAGTTCTTCTTACAGAGCCAAAAAGCATTATTCAATGAAGTGGTTGCAGCTGGTGTCCGAAGAGTGAAGCTGTCGAACTCTAGCCACTTCCCGTGATACAGAAAATGTTTCACCAGTGTGGATGCTCATGGAAAAAGTAGAGTTCCTTAAACATTCACCACAATAAATGTGTGGTTGAGTATTAAATAAAAACAATCCTAAATTTCAGTATTAATGTGGCTTTTAGAATCCTTTTCTCCATTATATGGGTACATATTACATTTTTTTGCATATTACATCTAATAAATATATGTATGGTGACATCAGCCATTTGTAGCTCATAGGGTTTTCTGCAATGTTTATGGTTTTTTTAGTAGCAACTCATTTTATTGCCTTTTACTGACATCTGCTGGAAGAAGTGAGCCCACCTTTTACTGATAGATATGACAGAAAGAGCAGTCAAAAAATAGTTTTGTCAAATATACTTTCATAAGTTATTGAAATTTTGAAACTTGTTCAGAATTGGAGTGTTTGGTTTGACAAATTACAAATAATTTTTCCCAAATCCAGATAAAACAAGAGTATTTTGTTTAATATGTTCCAAAGTTTAAGCAGTGATGCTTATCTACACTATATCTGTTCCTGAAAGATTAAGGTACAAAAGGAAAGATAATCCGCATGTAAAATTTGAGCGACGTGGAATATTGATTAGTCTCCCAAGGTATAGGCCACTTAGGTTCTAGTTTCTTAAACCTGAAACAAAGTTACATATGAACATGAAGCATCTGAACCTAACACCAAGTGAGTCAAGACCTCTACAAATGCTCTTGAAACATGTTTGAATAAAGTGTGATCACTATTTGTTGATATAGTTTATTTTAATATGTCTAGGAAGATTATTGGGAATTGGTCAAAAAAGCTGCTGTTGAGATCCTAGTTGAAGTGGCAGAGATCTCTAGAGCTGTTATTTGCACAAGCTGCAGTTGCAATATATGGTTATTACACCAAAAAAAAGCCCTATCACATATGCACTTTGATAGTTGAGCATGTAGTCTACTAAGTAGCTACACTTCTTAGTACAGCCTTCTGAAAAATATTTTTACTCCTTACAATAGTTAGATGCAGAGAAAGAAGGCTGTTAGTATGCTAGCAGGGATTGTTTGAGTTTTAAGCCAATTGTTAATAAGGTTTTTTTAATAAATATTTAGTGTAAGTTTTTTTTTTTATTATTATTTTTCCCTTAATAGGAAAACTGCCATACCAACATTATGGGAATCACTAGAAGAACCTGATATACTTGATACTACTGAGTTTGAATATTTGTTTTCCAAAGACACCACTCAGGAAAAAAGAAAACCATTATCAGAGACTTACGAAAAAAAAACCAAGGCCAAAAAGGTATTTAATTTTCCTTTGTATTTACTTTCTTCTTTATTTCTCTTTTATGGCTTTGTTTTGTATTTTAAGAAACTTCATTTTTATTTACTATTGAACCAGCATGTAACAGATGGGTTTCTATGTGCTGTTATAAAACACAGTAAGTAAAATCGGTTGTTCAAACTTAGCGAGAGAATTCAAATATACTATTTAGTTTGGAAGGTTTCTTCCCTTTGAAAATGAATGTTCTACAACTTGGTGAAGTAGAAAAAATAGTGAGTAGAACAGAATAAAAGTTATAACGTGTGTCTTAAAGTACCAGTATTTCAGGCCATGTCTGACCTTGCAAATATCCATAAGTAAAGGCTACCATTAAGTCATTCTAGTAAATCTATTTTCCTTGAGTTTAATGTTACTGAGAAAACGAACTACTTCGGAAGATAGGAAAACCACTCTTATGTATTCTGAATGAAAACCCCCCAAAAAACTCTTTGCTGATATGTCTCAGTAGTTCTGTCAAGAAGGGACAGGGAAACCACCTCTGATGGATGAAAGTTTGTGCACCATCTGTCATTATGGCATACTCTCTGCCTCAGATGTGGTCAATTACGGAGAGAGCTTGTTCTTCTCAGTAACTGTCTGCAGTTACTGTCTGCAGGTAGGGCAAAGATATTTTCTGAATAATGGCCAAGTAATGTTTTCCTAGAACGACGTATATGTTATAATCCTGTTTGTGTGTGAGTGTGTGTGTATATACTGCATTATAAATCTATTTTAGTTTACCTGCTTGGAACCACAAGAGGGCTCTTTGCATGTAAGCTATGCTATCTACCTTTCTTGATTTTGACATACATACCAAGTGAACTTTCATACAAATATACTAGAGAGAATGGCTTTTTTAAAACTTATTTGATCATAAACTTAGCAAAGTAATTAATAAGAAATGTCAATAAGGCTTCAAGTACACGTGGTGTGTAGTATCCAATGTAATTTTAATGGAGAAATAGCATGCATAAATAGATAACTGCTTTATTTCAAAATCTCAGTAGCAAAGTGCATATCCTACCTCCCCAGGTCGGTGTCAGCAAAATAGTTTGGGAATTAGTCCCATTTCCTGAATGGTGAATGTGCGTGATTCCTTTTCCTTATTGCTTTGTAAATTAATCTAGTTACATTTAATGATTTCTAATGATCACTCTTAACTTTATCCAAAATTGAATTGGATAGTAGTTACTCTATACAAGATATGAAGTAATGGAGTAGGAATTAGTAATTCTTAGTAATACCACTAGTGAGTAACTAATGTGTTTTCTTACAAAGATATTTTCTGTTTTTATATCAGTGTTTCAATTAGTTTGTTTTGTTTTTAAAGTTATTATTTTAAAGACTAGGTCATATTTACTGAAATTATTGGAATAAAAAATGTTGCTTGAAAATGCTCCATAAAAATATAAAAACAAGTAACCTGACAGAAAAATTTAGTTTTATCTAGTAATGTACAGTTTTATCTATTATTGTGCAAACTGATGAGATTATGATCATGGTGTTACAAAAAAATGAAAACCACTGCTCAATAATAAAGTTTCTGTTGCTTGTTCAGTTGAAAAATAAATCAGCTTTTAGATTTCAAATTAAATTTGAATTAAACTAAGCATAATAAGCATTTCTTACTTTTAGTTTTGTCTTTTCTACTTTGTTTGTTAAATGAGTCGTAGTAGTTGAACTGTGTTTACAGACAGTTCATCCTCTTCTGTGGCCCTGTGTTTCCTCTGCCTCTGAAATCCTAGATTGTCTGCATGCTACTCTGCCAGCTCCAGTGGATCAATCTTAGTGGGTTGTGAGTGAAATGATAATAGGGGAGGCATTTTATTTAGTTACAGAATGGTTTATAAGTAGATAAATAGAAAACTCTTGTACATTAATGTTGAATTATCAGCTCTGCTGGTTTCATTTGTCCTTTTTCATGCTTTCTTTCAGCATTCATCTTACCTTCTTTTTAACAATTATATCTACTAGAGCTTTAGTAGTAAGAGCTTTAGTAGTAATCCCTTTCTTTGTGACAGTACAGAAATACATGCTTGTCTGGTCTTAAATATAGTATGTTGTGGTACATGGAGTTGTGTAGTTTGGTTAAAGATGCTTTATACAGGTGTCATGGAATCTGATGATGTTTATCATGTCATCATTATAGCTGATGCTGCATCATTTTGTGTTTCTTTGTAAATTCCTGTTGTAAAAAAAGAAAAAAAAAAGTAAGATACAGAGACAGCTTTAAAATCTGGAACAGTAGTTTGTGTTTTTTTTTATTTAATACTACATGTTACCATTGACCTATACATTGCATTAAATCTCTTCTCATCCATGCAACTTAGTTCTATTAGTTCTATTTCCCATCAACTTCCACAAATTGAGTTTGGCCTGCTTTGTATTTAGAAAAATGGCAGGCCAATAGGTGGTGCAGGATCCCATGCTAGTAGAGCATTACTTAATACTTTTCTTCTTGAATGAGTGCCTCACAGTCAAGTTCTATATGCAACTGGAAGATCTTGTCATAGAAATTCAAGGGGAATTGTCTTTATAAAAACCAAAGTGACTTTAACAGTTCTGGTCTTGTTGAAATATAACTTCTTTACCAATTATTTGCAGTTTCAAGTAAGATCGTATTCAAATTATTGTCATAATTTATTTTTGGTTTTTTTTTGTGAATCCTGTCAGAATAATCCGTAAGCCTCATTTGTGAAATCATAGGATCATACAACTACAGAATTTTTTTAGTTGGAAGGGAACTTTAAGATCATCTTTAAGATCGTCAGAACCCTTCTCCCCACTATAGGCAGGGACACCTTGCACTAGACCAGGTTGCTCAAAGCCCCATCCAGCCTGTCTTTGAATGTCTCCAGGGAGGGAACATCCACAACCTTACAGGGCAACCTGCTCCAGTATCTCAGCACCCTCACAGTTCAGAATTTCTTCCTAATATCTAGTCTAAATCTACCCTCTTCCAAGTTCAAAACCATTTCCCCTTGTCCTGTCAATACCTGCCCTTATAAAAAGTTTATCCCCAGCTTTCCTAAGGTCCCTCTGGAACCTTCTCTTCTCCAGACTCATGAGCCCCAATTCTCTCAGCCTGCCCTTGTAGGAAATATGTTCCAGCCATGAAACGAATGTTTATGAATACATGAATGCTTAAATGAATATGCTAAAATGCTTAAACAAATGAATGCTTAAATGCAAGATACCACATTAAATCTGTAGAAATTTCACTTTGTTTTATTTTTAAGTGTTTGTCCACATTGATGACCCCTTATGAGAACTCTGATTGCAATATTCACTGTCAACTATGCTTTTGTTGCTTTTAACTAGACATCTACCATGTTCAGCCAGAAAAGTTTAAATCTTGTCCTGCATGACTGGAAATAATGATCTATTTTCCAGGGCTCTTCTGAAAGTTATAATCTGAGTATATATTTATATTTGTGTGTATCATTATGTGTGTAAGAAAATGCAGTATAAAATTATAGTATATGTTTATAATACAGAAGAATATTATACACATGCATATCTTCACTGTCAAGATTGTAGAATACAAAGAGGATTCTGTGGGAGTCGGTGTTAGCTCTGATTACCTTTGTGTCTTCACTTACAGAATCATAGAATCATAGAATTTTCTCAGGTTGGAAAAGAACTCAAGATCATCAGGTCCAACGACAACCAAACCGTACAACCCTAACTCTCACAACCCACTGCTAACTCATGTACCTGGGCACAACATCCAAATGGTTTATAAACATATTCAGGGATGGAGACTCTACCACATCCCTGGAGAGCCTATTTCAGTGCTTAACAACCCCTTCTGTAAAGAAGTTCTTCCTGATAGCCAACCTTCTTGGCCATCTGGGCAAACTGCTGGCTCATATTCAACTGATTGTCCATCAGTACACCAAGGTCCCTTTCCATCAGGCAGCCTTCCAGCTGATCCTCCCCAAGCCTGTAGGGTTGCCTGGGGTTGTGACCAAAATGCAGGACCTGGCACTTGGCACTACTGAAACTCATACAGTTTACCTTGGCCCATTGATCCAGTCTATCCAGGTCCCTCTGTAGTGCCTTTCTACCCTCCAGCAGATCAACACTCCATCCCAGCTTGGGGTCATCTGCAAACTTACTGAGGGTGCACGTTTTTTATGACCTGGATAATGGAATATTAACTCTTCAGCTGTCACTTAGTTGCAAGAGGCTGCATACATTTTGAATTAGACCCTTTAGAAAGTTCCTATGCATCTGAGATGTGCTTATTCCTTTTTTTTAGATTATAAATTTATGCAGTTAAAGATAATCTACCTACCTAAAAGTACTATGAGTACAACTGACTAGGTAGTAGTTTAGCAGAAGTGATCTTAGGATAGTAATGAATCACAAAGAGGAGCATGAGTTATCAAATCATGATACTACAGCGGAAACAAGACTGTTAAATAAATGGAAGTGTTGCTTGCAATAAAATCCATTCAGTCATGTTTTCATTAACAACAGCATCTATACTGAGGCACTACCACTCTTCTTTAAAAATGTTTACTAGCTGTAAAGAGTCAAGAAAAGTGGGAATGATCAAAACTGTAGAAGTAGTCTCTGAGTAAAATTCACTGATTATGATTGTTTAGTCTAGAAAAGAGGAGGTTGATGTGGGACAAAAAGTGTCATCAAGTGCATGCAGCTGCTGCAAAGAAAAAATATGAAAAGCTTTTCAAAAGTAGGGATACTACAGGATTGTAGAGCACTTTTGGCTAAGGAATATGTGTTTCTATATTGGGAGATCATTAAGAAAATTTATTTAGAATAGGACATGTATAGTTGATAGTGTAATGAAGTACAGAAATGCTTTGGATGAAATTTCGAGTGCCTTTCCAACATCATGAATCTCAATTTAAAGTAAAAAAATCTAGTTTCTATCCATTCTCCTATGGTTGGAAACAGCTGCCTGCCCCCTTTTTCCAGTGGAAGTGCTCCATGACTCTAAAGCATATTGC